GTTGAGAGCTTGGTACATGTCTGGAGGCTTGTGAACTTCACCTCATCAGACCAGCAGAACACGTAAGGCTGAAGGAGCAGCCTGCCCTGGCCACCCCTGATTGGGCAAGAACTTCTGTAACCAGCTGCCTGTCCCCGCTGCCCTTTTGGCCTGAAAAAAACTGTCTGAATCATGTGCCTTGATTCCCAGACACCTTTTAGGGCTTCAGGGCCTCTCTGTACAAAACTCACTGCCATTGAGTCAATGTTCATTGATAACCCCCTATGGGTTTCTGGGACTGCTTTTTTTGAAACTGTACAAAAAGAGTAAAAAGCCCAATCTTTCTCCCATTCTCTGTAGACTAGGGCCCCTATCCTGGGTGCTTTGTCCCCTCCACCTGGGATTCTCACCTCAGGGCTCTGCCCCCAGGTCCTCAGTTTTTACCTTACCCTTTTTGGGGTCATTCCTATCCTTTCCCTTATTTCCCACCTGCACACACCCCCCTTCTCTGCTTTCCTTTTTCTTTCTTTATTCTCTGTTTTTTCGTTACTATTCTCTTTTCTTCTCTTTCTCTGGTTTTGTAATTATGTTTCTTTTTCTCATCCTTTAAAAAATATTTTCCCTTTCTCTTTTAAGTATTCCTTTTTTCCCTTTTTGTTGTTGTTTCCCCCCTTTTTATTGATCATGTTCTTTTTTTTTTTTTTTTTGCTATTGTTTGTTTTGTTTTCTCTTGGCCTACCTAGCCAGACCCACACAGCCACACCATACTGGTCCTACAGCCTCACCCATTTGGGAAAGCCTACTACCTGCTTCTGTATCACCTAATAATTGATAGCTAGCAGCCAGTAGCAGCAAGACGTGTTACCCAAACAGCAACTATAGAACTGTGGACACACACTCATTTTCTACCACATTCACTGAGTGCCTAGGAACACAATATACAATCACTAATTAAATAAAAATATAGTAACCCCATGATGTCTCGTAGACAACAGCCCATTTCAATTCATATGAGGAAATACGGTAAAGGCGTTCAAACAAGTGATAAATATACAAAGCCAGCAAACCTTTCTGAGGAAGAAGTGGCATTGGAAATACCTAATAAACGATTCAAAATAATTATATTTAAGTACTTAAAATGACTTGAGAGGAAGATCGAGAAATCTGCAAAGTCAAGAAAATACAGCCAAAACTTGAGAAGACTTCAGGGACATAGTAAAAGGACAAACTGAGAAAATAAACAAAAAATTAAGAACCATATGTGTTAGCCTGGGTTGATTAGAGAAACAAATCAGAGGACACTCATATATGTATAAGATAGAGCTTTATATCAAAGAGCAATTACATGTTGAGAAAACATCCCAGCCCGTCCAGATCAAATCCAAGTCTCATATTAGGCCGTATGCTGAACATTAGTTTATAAATACCTCTTCAGACTTATGCTGCACATGCAATAATGCTGAAAGCAGGAAGACAGCAGGTTGGTGGGTGAAAAGTCTTGTGAAAGCATCTCAGCACTGCCACTGGTCTCCATGTGTCTCCTCAGCTCTCTGAGTGCCTCAGGAAAGTCAAGCAGAGAGAGTGGCCCACCTCCAGCTAGAAAGGGAGGAGGTTCCCAGAATGCTTATGAGAAGGCCATGCCCACAGTCAGGACTGTGACCTGATTGACTGGCTAGACTCCACCCCTACACTTAGTATCCTCAAGTTGACACAGATTATGTAACTAACACCGTAGAAAAATATAAATATATATCCAGAAGATCAATATTAAGAGTTAAAAAATAGGTAATTTAGTCAAAGGGTAAAGGGGTAGTAGAACTGAATCCTTGGAAGACCATATTATTGAGATTGAAGATAAATCTCTCAATACTCCTAGAGGAACCATCAGAAAAATGAAGAAAACCCACAAAAAATAAAGTTAAAGCCTAAGAGGTATGTCGGACAACATTACGAGAAATAACGTGATCAGAATTCTGGAGCAGGAAGAGGTGGTTTAAAAAAACAAAAACAAAAAAAAACCAACCAGAACTATCAAAGAGTTGTTGGAAGAAAACATCTCTACCAACATGAAAGATAAGAATATATGCATTAAAAAAGCTGAATGAACCCCAAACAGGATTGATCTCAATAGAAAATATTGAAGACATATTGTAATCAAGCTTCCTAAAACCAAAGACAATGAAAGAATCCTGAGAAAATCTTGGGACAATGAAGAATTAAGGAGACTAATTTTTAATTTCTCCACAGAAACTATACAAGCAAGAAGCCAGAGGACATGTATGAAACTCTGAAAGTACAAAGTTGCCAACCAAGAATTATGTACCCAGAAAAGCTGTCCAACAATACAGCAGCAAAATTAGGACATTGCCTAATAAAATTAAGTTCAAGGGACTGTTGGAGAGCAGACCAACCTTACAAGAAATCGTGAAAGGAGTTATTTGGACAGAGAACCAGCACCTGAGGTTAGCATGCATGGTACCACCACTCAGAAGTCAATCCAGGGATAAAAGTACCCAAAGTAAAACAAACGTATGAGACTGATACTAAAGAATCAGAGATATCAATATGTAAATAAAGATGATTGCAAAGTACAAAGTGGGAGTATTAATTTCTTATAAAATAAACTTAATGCTAAAACCAGCATAAGAGACAGGGAAGATATTATATAATGACTTAAGAGTCAATTGAACATTGAAAAGGACATAGCCACAACTATTTATGCACTCAGCAA